GCAAGAGCAAGAAGGAGGAGGTGCCACACACTTTTAAACAAGATCTTGTGAGAACTCACTCACTATCACAAAGACAGCACCAAGCTATCACGGATTCACCTTCATTACCCAGATACCTTCCACCAGGCCCTATCTCCAACACTGAGAATTACAATTTAACATTAGATTTTAGTGAGGACAAATATCTAAATGATATCATGCTGTATCTCATGGGTATGTTGAGTTTCCATTTTAATTTACTTTAAGAATTTTTAAAATCTCCTTCTTAATTTCTTCACTGACCCACTGGTCATTCAGGAGAAAGCTGTTTATTTCCACATGTATGTATAATTTCCAAAATTCTTGTTAATAATTTCTAGTTTTATTCCAAGTAGTCAGAGAAGATACTGATATAATTTCAGTTCTTTTGAAAATTTAAATACCCATTTTGTGGCTAACATATGGTCTATCCTTGAGCATAATCCATGTACTGAAAAGAGTAATATATATTCTGGAGCAATTGAATGAAATGTTTTGTAAATATCTATTAGGTCCACATGGTATATGGTGCAAATTAAGTCCAATGTCTCTTTGTTGATTTACTGTATGGAAGATCTTTCCAATGCTGAAAGTGAGATATTGAAGTCTCCAGCAATTATTGTGTTAGGGCCTATTTTCACATTAGCTCTAATCATATTTGCTTCATATATCTACGTTCTTTAGTGTTCAGTGCATATATATTTACAATTGTTATATGCTCTTGCTGAATTGACCTCTTTATCATTTTATTATGATCTTATTTGTCTCTTTTTATACTTTTAATCTTGACATCTATTTTGTCTTAGTATTAGCTACCCTTGATCTTTTTATGGTTTTAATTTGCATAGAATATCTCTTTCCATCCTTTTATTTTTCAGTCTATATGTGTCTTTATAGGTAAGTGTGTTTCTTGTAGGCAACAAATTGTTGGGTATTTTTTTTTCCATTCGGTCACTCTATATCTTTTGATTGATGAGTTTAGTCCATTTATATTTAATGCTGATAAGTAAGGACATACTCCTGCCATTTAAAAATTTGTTTTTTGGTTGTTTTTGGTCTTCCATATCTTCTTTCCATCCTTTCTGTCTTCCTTTTAGTGAAGATGATATTCTCAGGTGATATGTTTTAGTTTCTTGCTTTTTATTTTCTGTGTATCTCTTGTATGTTTTTAACTTGAGGTTGCCATAGGGCTGGCAAATAATATCTTATAACCCATTATTTTAAAATCATGATGACACTGATTGCATAAAAAAACAAGGAAGCAAGCAAAAAGGAAACTAATAAAAGGTCTACACTTTAAGTTCATCCCTTTGCTTTTTTTAACTTTTTGTTGTTTCTATTTATGTCTTATTTTACTATCTACAGTTTGAAAAATTCTTGTAGCCATTACTTTTGATAGGCTCATCTTTTAATCTTTCTACCTAAGATATGAATAGTTTATACACCACAATTACAGCATTATAATATCCTGTGTTTTTCTGTGTACTTATGATTACCACTGAGTTTTGTACCTTTAGATGATTTCTTATTGCTCAGAATGTCCTTTGCTTTCAGACTGAATTATCCCTTTAGCATTTATTATAGGACAGGTCTGGTGCTAATGAAATCTCTCAGATTCTATTTTTCTGGGAAAGTTTTTATTTCCCCTTCATGTTTGAAGGATATTTTTTGCTAGATATACTATTCAAAAACAAAAGTTTTTTCTTTCAGCACTTTAAATATGTTGTACCTCTCTCCTCTGGCCTGTAAGGTTCCCATTAAGAAGTTTGATTCCAGGCATATTGAAGCTCCATTGTATGTTATCGCTTTCTTTTCTCTTGCTACTTTTAGGATCACTTCCTTATATTTGATGTTTATCAGTCTAACTATTAAATTCCTTGGGATAGTCTTCTTTGGATTAAATCTGCTTGTGTTCTATCAACATCTAGTACTCGAATCTTTCTCTAGGTTTGGAAGTTCTCTTTTATTATCCCTTTGAAAAACTTTTAATAAACTTTCCAACCCAATCTCTCACTCCCTACTCTTTAAGGCCAGTGACTCTTAGATTTGCCCTTTTGGAGGTATTTTTTTAGATCTTATAAGTGTGCTTTATTCTTTTTTATTCTTTTTTTCTTCTTCTCCTGTGATTGTGTATTTTCAAATAGACTGACTTCAAGTTCACTAATTCTTTCTTCTGCTGGATAAATTCTCTTAGGAGAATCTGATGCATTCTTCAGTATGTTTTGCATTTTTCAGCTGCAGAATTTCTTCTTGATTCTTTTTTAATTATTTTAATCTCTTATTAAATTTATCTGATAACATTCAGAATTCCTTCTCTATGTTATCTTGGATTTCACTAAGCTTTCTCGACACAGCGATTTTGAATTTTCTATCTGAAAGACCACATACTTCTGTCTCTCCAGGATTGGTCTCTGGTGCCTTATTTAGTTCATTTGGAGGCCCTGTTTTCCTGGATGGTCTTGATATTTGCAGATGCTCCTTGGTGTCTAGGCATTGAAGAGTTACATGCTTATTGTAGTCTTCACAGTCTGGGCTTGTTTGTTCCCAGCCTTTTTGGGCAGACTTTTCAAATATTCAGAGACATAAGTGTTGTGATCTAACTCTTTGGTCACTGAGGCCATATCTGCTTTAGGGGGCACCCCAAGTCTAATAATGCTGTGGCTCTTGCAGACTCCTAGAGATACCATCCTGATGGTCTTGGGTTAGATCTGGAAGAATTCCCTGGATTACCAGGCAGAGAGCCTTCTTTTCTTTCATTACTTCCCTCAAACAAATAGGGTCTCCCTGTCTGTGCTGAGCTGCCTGGAGCTGGGGGAAGGGTGACACAAAAACCCGTCTGGCCCACTGGGACTCAACTGGGCCAGATCCAAAGCTAGCACAGCACTGGGTCTCTTCCAAGACCCACAGTGACCACTGCCTGGCTACTGCCTATGTTCACTCAAAGCCCAAGGGATCTACAATCAACAGGTAGCAATCCAGCCAAATCTGTGTTCTTTCCTTCAGAGTATTTATTTCCCTCTGCCCCAGGTGGGTTTGAAGATGTCATCTGGGTGCCATGGACTGGAGTCAGGAAATTCAGGCATTTGCCAGTGCTCTGTTCTCCTGACTGAGCTGATGCTCAAGCTGTAAGGGAAAATTATTCCTACTCTTTCTTTCACATTCCTCAAGCAGAGGTGTCTTTCTGTGGCCACCACAGCCCCAGCCTACAGCAAGTACTCCTGGCTACTGCTGATGATCTCAAGGCCCCAGGGCTCTTCAGTCAACTAGTGGTAAATGCTGCAAGTCCTGGGTCTCCTCTTTTGGGGAAGTGGGCTTCCCTCTGGCCCAGGGCAGTTCCAGAAATGCCAACCAGAATCCTGCTTGGTGCTCTCTCCCACTGTGTTGAGCTGGTACTCAAGCTGTAAGACAAAGTCCTCTGTACACTTTCCTCTCATTTTCTTGAGCAAAAGGAGTCTCGCCACAAAAGTTATCACAAAGGAAAATGATGTGCTGGGTCACACCTGAAGGCAGCACAGCTCTGAGCCTCACCCACAGCCTGTGGTGTGTGCTGACTAGCTACCACTACTGATTATTCAGAGCCCAAGGGCTCCTTAGTCAGCAGGTGATTAATTCTGCTAGGACTGGGTCATTTCCTTCGAGGCAGCAGCTTATTTTCTGGCCCAGGGTGTGTTTAGAAATGTCATCTGAGAGATAGGGCCTGGAATGACAGCCTGCCTGGTGCCCTCTTCTACTGTGGTTGAGCTGGTATCCAAGTTGCAAGACAAAGTCCTCTTCACTCGCCTCTCTCCTCTTCTCAAGCAGAGGGAAGCAGTCTCTCCCAGAGTTGTAAGCTATGCTGCCCATCCTTGTGACCTCATTTAACCTTAATTACCTTCCTGAAGATGCTGTCTCCAAATACAACTATCTTTGTTAGTCAGAGTGACGCAGTCATGTGGTGTCTTTCAGTAGGCAAAGGCAAATGAGTGGCTGGACAAAAATTATTACAATGAAAAATAGTAACATCAGGTGAGGACAGAAGAACTTCATAGGAAGCAGGTCTATTAACAGAATAATGTCGGGTATGTAATTTCAGTTCCAAATTTAAATACACTTCTCTCTTCTGAGAAAAGGAAATGTGTGCATTGTGAAGTTCCAAAATATCTCTGCCTAAAATATGTATGGAAGCCAAGGGAAGAAGCAGAAAGAAAAGAAAAGCCACTGGGTGAGCCTACCTGGAATTCTAACAGTTTGGACAGTCACAGGTTGATTAGATGCCTCTATCATTTGTTCAGTTTTATTACTCTGAGGAAGGGGACAACTTAAAGGGGCAGGGCTGAGAATGAAAAGAATAGCTCCAGTGTCTACATGGGCACATGTCTGTTCTTCATTCATGAAATTTCCATTTCTCCTAAAACATTAGTCAGGAGAAATTAGAAAGCACCCTTTTGATCCTTGGAGCAACCCTATTCATCATTTTTGCAAACTGCTGTCATTTAAGTTTTCTGGAATCTTTTTTGAGATGGTCAATCTTTTTACAATAGAAGCAAATACCCCTTCTATCATTAGAAGAAGGCACCCATTCTTTCTTAAAAGGCCTGGTTTGACAAATCAATTGTTATAGTTGTCAATTAATAGTCTTTGAGGCTCTAGTAGTTTCTTCTTTCTGAATATTTTTAGAAAGTTTATCTGCCAGGCTTACTAATTCATTGGTTTGTATAGTCACCTGATCGAGCTTGTATCATTTAACTAAGATAGTCAAGTCAGCATTTAAACCATTGAGGGAAGTAGAATTTATAAGGAAATCATTCCGATGATATTGGAGGCTAGCATTGAACATTTGGAAAATTGTTTAGAGGTTTTTTCAAATTGTTCAAAATAATCAAGCATAGATTTGTCTGGTCTTTGAGTATGTTGTTGAATTCTTCTTTAATCTACATGTTTAGATCACAGACATGGAGAATGACATCATAAAGAGTCTTGTCCAAAGTATGGACCCTTTCATGGTCAGTTTCAGTCTGGTTTTTGAAAATTCTCTAAAGGATTATTTCAGCTTCCCTTTTTCAACTGTTCAGTTGCCATGCCTGCTGATACCAGGTAGAGCTCAGAATATCCAGGCTCCTAATTCCAGGTAATTAAATCAAACTCTTTTGCAAACCCTATGGGATCTTGGAATGGGTCTGGGAAGTCTTTCATGATATTCTTAAATTCAGTCTTTGTCCAACGGGTGTATATACTAACAGGCTCACCTCTTCCTGTGGGTTTTACCCTGAAAGAAACTGCAAAAATAGAAGTTCCGGGGAAGGAGCCAGAGACCAGGGGATTTTCCTCAGGTGATGGTGGTAGAAGGGTTGATAAGTCAGGGCAGGAAGTTTAGATAAGACAGCACATAAAGGTGCAGGGTTAGTAGGAGGAGGAGTTGGAGATGGAAGGGAGAAGGACTCCGTACTCTTTTTAAATTCAGAAATAGTATCAGATATCCTTTTGTTCACCTCCTGAATACAGGCAATTTTGTTACATTTTCTTTTAGAAGCTTCTAGGTGCCCTTGAATGGGTGCTCCCATTCAATTTGTCAGGTTCTAAAACCAGTTTTTTTCAACTGATTTCACAGATTATTTTAGGATTTTCAAAGGACCATTTTAACCATTGCTGTTTATAACCATCCTGGATCATGTGGGTTTATTTTCTTTAGACATTTATAAGACGATAACCCATCAGTGTTATACACAGAACCAGCTTATCCTTTAAAAGAGTGCTCAGATTCTGAGGGTTGATTTCCTACAACTTAGGAACTTTTCAAAAGTGACTAAGGTCAGAAATGTGTTTTGGGTCGAAGTGTGCTGCTTATGAGCATCACTCCACCAAGTGTCATCAAAGAGTTGTGGGTCACTCTCTTATGTGTCTTGAAATATCTGATTGCCTTGTGATGGCAGTGTGTTCAAGGTGCCAGGCCACCAACACTTAGGTGTACCTTCTGGCTGAGCTGAAAGTCGCAGTAAGTGTTCTTCTTGTAGGAAGGCCCTATAAAACCATTCCATGTCATGGACAAACAACCCATCACCTTCAAAAAGTCTCTTGCCGTCTGATGCCAATTTAATTAAATTGTTAATTAACTGGAGGGACCAAGTGTCCCTTAACTTTGGGGTGAGAGAATTTGCTCTCATACACCTTTTGGTTTGAAACTAACAGAAATTGGTCACAACTGAAAAGACACATCTGAATTATAATCAAGAGGAAGCAGTTGTAATTTTTAAAACATGCTATGTAATTTTAGGCCAAAAGTAGTGCAACCACCAGTGCTAGACTACAAATACTGTGACCCAGACCTTCTGCTATGAAACAGAGGCACAGAAGGTAAAAGTTCTCTTTTATCCTGAAATCCAAATCTCCTGCCCTTAGATAGAGATGGAAAGCTCCATTCTTGGAAGGGAGATCTGAGAAAAACAGTTCATGCAAACACTAGACCTCAGCCTCAGGGTGGGAAGGTCCAAATTCAGGACTCATGTGCACTTGACCATGCTCTTAAAGCTGGAAAATATCAAGAGGTTCCAGCTGACCAGGTGCTGAGTCCAGGAGGACTGTCGTATCGTTGATGTCGGGGGTTGCTCTGAATCCTGCTCATAGTGCCAGGAATGTTGACTTAAAGGAAAAAAAGTGAGGATCAAAATATAATTTTAAAGAGTTACTTGAGCCAAAATGAGACAGCTGCCTGGAATACTCAGACACAAGTAACCTTGGATATGAGCTCCATTTGGCCTTTGTTACAAGCAGATCTTTAAAGGCAAAAATTGGGGACAAAGAGTTGATTGATAACAAAGATTTTTTGTCAGGAATTCTCCTTCGTTTACAGAAATAGCATTGATTAGTGATACTGCCTATACGTTCTATAAGTTATAGTGTCAGCATTGTTAGATTAATTTATAGCTACTTATAATTTTAGCAAGTAGTTTCGAGAGTAGATTACTTAATAATAGGACATGACTGCTGTCTCATTCCAGTGCCTCTCTGGGCCTGATATTTTACAGGAGCCTAGCATTCCTCAAATAAAAGGGATTTTTTTTTCTCAATACTTCTGACACCAAACATGATGGGAGGGTTTCCCCACACCAACCAATTACCTGAAAGCAGCTGGATGTCCAAAAACTTAATTCAATTCTAATAATAACTACCTGAGTTAGTTTTAGATTCAATAATTTAAGGTTTCAGTGCCACAAGACTGCCCCAACTTCAGATGCCAATTACAAGCCCTGAGTCACCCGTACTTCTAACCAACTGGCTATAAACAAGGGGTTTTTAGGATAAAACTAAGGAACAACCAGATGAAAGATGAGCCTAGGGCAATGTATGGGCAGGAGATGTGAAGCTTCCATGGCTGCTCCAGGAGTACCACCCTCCCAGAACCTTGATGTGTTCACCAACCTAGAAGCTCATCAACTCTCCTTGTTCAAGAGTTTTTATAGAGTTCAATATTGGGCATCCCCTATTCTCCTTTTCCAGAAAGTCAGTGGTAGGGAAGGGACTTGAAGTATCAACCCTTGAATTACCTGGGCTATTCCTTAATTACTTGAGCTATAGCGCATACTGAGGTTATCTATTGGGCTCACTCTAAGTCACCAAGTTAGCATAAACCAAGGTATGATCAAAGGGACTTTTATGAATAACAAAAAAGACATTTTTATGACTCAGAAAAGTTTCAGGGGCTTTAGGAGCTCTGTGTCAAAAACAAGGGATGAAGATCAAATATATATTTATTATATCACAGTATCACATTCACTAATTGGGCTCCTCAGGAAGAAGCACTCTCATATGCAGGAAGTTTACTGTACAATGTTTGCTAGATGAACACCTGTGGAAGGGAAGAGAAGGGAAGGGAAAGAAACTAGATAAGACAAATAAGGGAGTTAAAATGTGATGGATGCATCAAAACAAAGACCTTACTCAGCAAAGGCATAAGGAATTTATACACCCCATTGACAAGCATTGACTGTAGGATGTTCCAGAATCTGGATGTTGTGACTTTGTACAAGACAGCTCTCTTCAACCAAGAGCAAGTCCTAAGGGGGTACTTGGCTGAGTAATAATGTCTGTCACCAACATTCCTAGAAGCTAGAAGAATGAGTGATTGGCACATTACAACATCTACTACTGGCTATGCCTTACAGTATCCACATCTACTTGTTTCACATAACAGTTTTTTGTTCACCCTCTTGACCAGGATTTTTTTTTCCCACATAATTTAGAAGCCACTACTCCAAAATTACATTGGACCTCATTTTCTGGAAGAAGTTTACACATGGGAAGTTAGTGGAATAAGATATAATCTCCACTGCTGCAATTGATGTCCATGCTAAAACTGTCCTAATAATCCCCCTCCTTAGCCAGACACTTTAGATTCTCCTTTCCCTTGGTTAACACTTCTGGCTTTTCTAGTAATGTGACTCAGAACCTCATCCTTGAGGGATATAAGCCCCTTGTCACCATACCCTTTTCAGGCCATCTAAATAGGGCAGAGACATGCCAAGAAATGCAAATGTATTGCTTGAGTGCCTACATATTCAGCCCTGTCCCCATTGTGTAAAAGCAGCTCTATCGCCTGATGATAACTGTCAACCCTGCCAGGATGATGATCCTTTTTCATGCCTGTTGGCCTCTTGCTACTACAAAGAATCTAAAGGGAAGAGGAAGCAGCTATAGCTTGAAGTTCAAAGGGACTATGGTTATTTCTTCTTTAAGAAGTCTTACTCCTGCTATCTTCTGAATGTGTTTCTCAAAATTTTTGTGTTGGAAATTTAATCGCCAATGCAGCAGTGTTGGGAGGTGGTGCTGTTAGAGTAAGCAGACAGCCAGACATAAGCAGGAGGCGGAGCCCTTGAGAAAGGAAAAGTCTAAGAAGTCTCTGGCCTGAGGGACCCACCAAAATTTGCACGTTAATAGCATCTCTAATGCTAGAGTGGGTGAGCAAATAGTTAACTGTGAGTAGAAAGGAGAAACATCTTAAGGAGTGTTTCAGAGGGTTTATTTCCATAGGCAGAAACAAACCCTCTGAAACACTCCTTAAGATGCCCCAATAATTATTTACTCTGCAGTTACAATATCGGAATGTTGCTAGGTACATCCTGATAAGGAAGAAAGGAGGGGCAAATGGGGAAATTCCTAAAAGATATGCAGATTTGATAAGTATAGATTTGACTGCTAGACAACTTTCCTGGGGTGGCAGTAAGGAGCAATGCTTCCATTAGGCAAGCACAGTGCATTAATCAACACTTACAGAGGGTCCCACAAGCCTGAGCAGGAATTAGGTGGGGACAAAGGCAGGAACCAAAGGCAGAATCAGGAAAACTAGACAAAGGAAAAAGGTGCAGACTTGAGACAAGAAGCCAGAACTTGAAGAGGGAGCCTAACATGATAAAACTCACAGTCAGAAGTTGTTTTCCTGCAGGTTCAGCCCACTTCTTTCTTGGAGTGTACTTTTTTTCCTACCATAAGCTCTTTGATCCCTATTTATTTCCCTTCAATAAAGTTCTCTGCTATCTTTGAACTTTCTCTTGGCAGAAATCTTTTCCCCAAGTTAGACAAGAGCTGGGGACTTCTGCACTCCGCGGTAACAATGCCTTTTGAAAGGTGTTTAGATCATCAGGGCCCTGCCCTTGTGAATGGGTTAATGACATTATAAAAGAGTTTAGCAGAAGAAGTTTCTCGTTTTTTGCCCTTCCGCCATCTGCCATATGAGAACACAGCATTTCTCCCCTCTGGAAAACCCAGTGGTCAAGGTGCCATTTTGGAAACACAGACTGAACTTGTAACAGATGACAATCCTGCTGTCACCTTGATCTTGGACTTCCAGACTACAGGTTTATGAGAAATACATTGTTCTTTTTAAATTACCCAGTATTTTCTTTCTTTCTTCTTTTTAACATCAACACAGATGGTAAAACAACCGCTCTAGAAAATGCACCCTTAAACTCACAAAATCCAGAATCGTGGAAACAGAAAACACAAATTCCCTAAGTGGGTCACTAGAACTGATGGTAACTAAGCTCATTCCTGTATCCATCACTTGAGTCCTGGAACAATAAATTCTGCCTGCTGAGGATAAATAACTATAAAATGGTCACTGATTGAGGATGTATG